GTCATAGCTGCACATCCTTCTAGTTGCTGTATGTGGGACGTGGCCTCAGCATGGCCGGAGAAGCGGTGCGTCGGTGCGCGCCCGGAATCCGAACCTGGGCCACCAGCATGGGAGCGCACGCACTTAACCACTACACCACGGGGCTGGCCCTACTTAACAGTTTAAAAAGTAGATTGACGTACCCAAGTTACTCTAAGCATTATTGTTTTCCAGTAACTGCATTGGTATCAGTTTTTAAGTTAAAATTAATTAATGTTAAAGAAGGTTAAAAATTCAGCTCCTCACTTGCGCTAGGCGAATTTCAAGTGCTCAGTGACCCGGTGTAGCTGGTCACATTCAAGGAGAGTAAACGGCCGGCTGTGCTGTCTCACTTTGTTGACAAATAAGGATGACAGGAAGTGTGAGTGCCCATGGTGATGTGTGTTGTCCACCCGGATAATTCCAAGATTGCTTCTCTGTGTAGAATAATTAGTTACATTTCTCCTACTACATGATAGATCACAAAAGGTGTGGTTTTATCTGTGCAGGTGCTAGGCATTGAGAGGAGATGCAGAAGAAATAGTATGCTAGCTCCCTGGGTAGCAGTTTACAGTCTCACCAGAAGTCAAGCCACATGTCTAATCTTATAAATATCTGGTAATTTAAGAACAAATACTTGAGTAGCAATAGCCACACAACACTATTTTCTTTGAATATTGTAGCGTAGAAAAGATCAAGGCTGGTGAGAGATAATTGTACCCTCAGCTCTTGAAACCCAAGTGCTTCTCAATTCCCTGTGAAGCTGTCCCAAATTACTTAATTTTGTTGAATTAAAAAATAAGTGCAATCAAGGTCTACGTTTGTGGGAAGTCTGGCTACCTCCTGCACACCTTCCAGTGACTTGCAGCATGTCCCAAATGAGCTTCTCTCTCCCACCACCCACTCACTCGTCTTCCAAGCCTCCTGCTGTGTTCTTGTCACACTTAACAGCGTTGCAGCTAGACACGTCATTGTCAACTGTCCCCTCTCTTTCTCCCTGTCTGTGCCTTACCCAGCTTTGCTCACTCAATGACAGAAATGGTCACGTGTCTCCATCCCCGTCATCGCCAGGCTCACTTCCTTCCCTCTCGGAAATCTGAGCCAGGTTCTTAAGTTGTCCCCTCGCCTCCAGTCATCCCTGCCAGTTGCCCTCCGTACTGCTGCAAGAGCAATTTTTCTGAAATAGGATTCAGCTTGTCATGTTCCTGCTAAAAAGAAGAAAGTACCCAAGTTGTGATGTTTCAAATCTTTCTTCATGTCTTGTGACATCCCCCCCCCGGCCCCTCGTTCACGTTAGTCTCGCAGAATTACTTGCTGCTCCTCATGTTAGGATAACTCCCGTTCCTATCTGGCAAGCTTCCCCGCTTGCTAAGACTTGTAAAGCTTTCCCTGACTCTTCCAGGCTTTCTTTGTTGCTTCCTCCTCTTTGCAGCCTGACCCTCTGATCCAATGTAATAAGCTGTGGAGGCATGTAGTTACTCTCTGCAACCTGTTGCTCCACGGCTGTGAGAAAGCACAAGCAACAAAAGAAAAACGTAAATGGGACCACGTCAAAATTAAAAACTTGTGTGCATCAAAAGACACAACAGAGTGAGGAGACAACCCATGGAATGAGAAAAATATTTGCAAATCATGTATCTGATAAGGGGCTAATATCCAGAATAAAGAACTCTTGCAACACAACAACAAAAAAACAACCTGGTTAAAAAATGAGCAAAGGTGGGGGCCGGCGCCATGGCTTAGCTGTTAAGTGCGCGCGCTCCGCTGCTGGCAGCCCGGGTTTGGATCCCAGGCGCTCACCGACGCACTGCTTGTCCATCCATGCTGAGGCCGCGTCCCACATACAGCAACTAGAAGGATCTGCAACTATGACATACAACTATCTACTGGGGATTTGGGGGTAAAAAGGGAAAAGAAAGGAGGAGCATTGGCAATAGATGTTAGCTTAGAGCCAGTCTTTCTCAGCAAAGAGGAGGATTGACAGGGATGTTAGCTCAGGGCTGATCTTCCTCACAAAAAAAAAAAAAAGGGCAAAGGACTTGAATAGACATTATTCCAAAGATGTATGAGAGGCCAAGAAGCATGTGATAAGATGTTGAGCATCACTAATCACTAGGGAAAAGCAAGTGAAAACCACTTGAAACACACTTCTACCCATTAGGATGGCTACTATCCAAAAAACATGTTGGTGAGGATGTGGAGAAATTGGAACCTTTGTGTACTTTTGTGTATTAGTGGGAATGTAAAATGATACAGCCACTGTGCAAAACAGTATGGAGGTTCCTCAGAATTTTAAAATAGAATTATCTAGTGATCCAGCAATCCCACTTCTGGGTATATACCCAAAAGAATTGAAAGCAAGGTCTCCATGAGACATTGATACATCCATGTTCATAGCATTTTTTGCAATAGCCAAAAGTTGGAAGCAACCCAGGTTCCATTGATGGGTGAGTGGATAAACAAAACGTTGTATATACACACACTGGAACATTATTCAGCCTTGAAAA